TCAATTTCCTCTCCCACCACGCTGGTAAATCCCCAAGAGCAATCTCAGCTTCAAAGGATGTCAATAATGGCTTCTTAAATGCATCACCCCAGTCAATGGATAACCTGGGGCACGCAATCTGAACCCAAGCATCCACTGCATCCCCAAATAGCTCAATTTTTTTGGGTGTCAATTCAGAAATCAAAACAACCATATAATCCAGATTCTTTTCCTTCATCTTCTTTTCTAGCCTCTCCAATACCCTTGGATTCCCTTGCCTTCCTAATGTCCCCAACACAATTCCCCAAATCTTCGCCCCTCTCGATCTCTCTATCGCCCTCCTCCTCTCCTCCTTCATTCCTTCATGATCATACTCCTCCAGAAACAATTTCCCCATATATGGATCATATCTAAATGCCTTAACCCCAGGATTCGCTATCATAAATGCCTCCAAATGGAACCTACCATCCGCCACAAAAATTATCACGTTATCTTTTTCAGAACAAGCTTCTAATTTTATACTAGGAGCAGTGCACCCAAGAACTTCCCCAGCAGATAACGGTTTCGCCTGAGGAATTAAGACCTTAAACCCAAGCTTCTCAAGTTCTGGCTTCGAGGCACGAATTGCACTTGAAAATTGGATGGTTCCCGCCATAATGAAACTACTGATTTCTTCAGGGCTAAAATTATAATTCAACTCCTGAAGGAGCTTGCGGGTGTTGATAGCAATTTCAACGAAGATGTATAGCGCGGGGATGGTGGTGGAGTCAATGGGGACAAGGCAGCTGTGACCGAAGTGAACGAGGAGTTGCGCGTCCAGAGCACGAGCGGATAGGTCATCAACGCAACAAGCACCATACGTAACGTCACCGAGTACGAAACAGTGAGTAACGTCAGCGAAGGTGGTGAGTATGTCAGAGATGATGAGGGAGTACATGAGGAGGCCCTCGGGGAACTGGAGGGCGACGCGGGTAGCGTTCGTGGACCGCACGCGCCATATAATCTTGTGGATCTCGAAGTTGTAGTTGGAAGGGAGGAGAGAGATTGCGGCGTTCAAAGAGGCGTCGTTTAGGATGGAATCTGGTATTTGGCTCTTCACGAATCGCTTCGGGACCCTTCGGCCGGAAGGATTCTGTTGCGCCGGCAGTACGAGTTCCGAGTGAATTTTGCCAGTTGCTGTCTGGTCCATCGTCGCTACGGAGAGAATTACTGTGTGAGAAAACACGTTTCGATGTGTGATTTGAATATGTTTAATTCGTCTGAATGGTGGAGAAGAAGAAGTTCATAAGGTAAGCCCAGTAAGCAACATCAAGTTGGTGGCCACGGGCTGTGATATCCGGGCCACAATAAGTGGGCCATGGGCTATGGGCCTTGGGGAATGTAAGGTTGCAATGGTCCAAATATAGAAACAAAGTGGTGGAGATTATATATAATAAATTCTACTTGTACATAATTATTGTACATAATGGTGTCCATAATATGATGTGGCAATTATCCGATTGTTGATGTGTAAGTGTGAAATTTGAATTAGAGGTTGGATCCAGTGCCATGTGTAATTACGGACACCATTAAATAGATAATTATGTACATGTAGCACTTCCCTTATATATATGTCACCCTACTTTTAAAGATCAATATTCTAAAATTAGGGCAAATGTTTTATTATTCAAAAATTAGATATTTTATATTTAAACATTAAATATTATAATACAAATTTCATTCCAAACCCTAATTAATTTCTCATCTCCTTTCTCCCTCACTTATCTCCTCTCATGAAGATGTCACCATCGCCATCGTCGTTGTGAAGACGTCGCCACCATTGTTGTGATCGCTGCAAAGACGCTCACAATCGCATTCAAGACGCCACCACCGAGAGTCATCGCTTTGAAGCAACAGTGCCGCTGCGAAAAAATTGCTACAGCCTTTTACTTCGAAGCAACCAACACCATTGTGTAATGCCAAGATGTTGAACGACCATTGCAGCTGCATGAAGGACCATCGCGCGTAGGGCCATTGGATGGTTAAAGGTATCGCAACGACATAAAGGAGCTACACAGCTCCACATTGTATAACACCTCTACGTGCAGCACAGACATCTCGATCTGCGCAACACCGAAGCTATTTTGATTGGCGATATCAAACCAATATTGTGGGTTATGATTTGTAGTTTGTGGTTGAGCATCGCCAATATTAGATTTATTGGTTGAGTGCCAGCAGCGTCTGTAATTTGTGGTTTCCAGCGATGAGCGTCACCGTAGGGATTTTCCGACAAGCTGCCACTATCGTATAGGTTGGTTGGTGCGGGTGGATCTGTTGTAGTGTTTTTTGGTGTGTGTTTGAGCAGATACCATAATTTTTAGAGTGTTTTTTATTAGTGGTAGTACAGATGGATTTGGCGATGGTGGTGAATTTTGGCACTGGTGGGGTGGTGTCGGGTGGTGTCGTGGTGGACTT